TATATATATATATATATATATATATATATATTTATATATAAATCCATTTCAGAATGACAAGATCTGTTTGCGTTCATGTCATGTGCTTCATGTTGACAAGTGAATAAATAAACTCATTATTTTTTTCGAGATTAATTTCATAGAACATTCCATTTGAACTGAAGGAAAATGCCACACGCTGATTGGCAGCTGGCAGGAGTAATTTAGCAAATAAGAACCACCTGTTGGCCTTCCTCATTTTAACACAAGAGCCTTTTTTATGTTTGAACTGATGAGATGCTGTTCAAAAAGACACTAGACCTAATTTAGTAATGGAAAAAGGCCAGAATTTTACTGAAATGAAGGGATTAAAGTTCATTTTAAACAAATCTTTTGCTTTGTAATAATAATAAAAAATTGCCTAATTATAACAGCAAATTGAGTCTTTATGAATATATACTTTATAGTAAATGCCAAATAAAAATGTAGTAGAAACTCATATGTAAATTCACTTAACTTACCTTAAAATTTCCAAAGCAGCTGCCACCTGGTAAGGTGACGTAGCATATGTAGGGAGGGCTGGGTGAGGGAATGGACTCATAGACTACCAGATTGTCTGTCTCCATCATCATGCCTTTCACTTGTTTCTGCTCCCAAAACTGATGAAGCATTCCCACAACATTCACTAGAAGCGACAAAAGAAGGAGAATATTTTGAAATGTGAGCACATTAAATATATTTTGATGTGCAAACTGCACCACTACAAGTGAAGAACTATGATTTATCTCACATATTTCCCAAGTCACCTTTTGTTTTTACTGAATGAGACAGTTTTGAGGTTCTTTCAAAGGGATAGTTCACCCAAAAATGGAAATTCATGTTGTTCCAAACTGGAATTACTTTTTTCTTCTGCAAAACTCAAAAGAAGATATTTTGAGAAATATATATATTTTTTCACTGATACAATGCAAGTCAAAGGGGGCCCAATGTTGTTTGGACTACAACTTTCTTCAAAATGTAAGGAAAAAAGGTCATACAGGTTTGGAACAACACGAGGGTCAGTAAATGAGAGTGAAGTGACCTTTAAGATGCTTTGTGATGATATTGTGCATTTTATTAAAATCTTGTCTGTTAGTATTCAATCTTTTACCACACAGATCACTAATACGCTACAGAGACTCAGCTGTTTATAATGTCTAAGAGTCAAAGTGGTTACATAAGAGGTTTTTGACTGCTGTGTTTATTGAAATTGTGCCTGTTCATCAAACAAACCCAGACAGTGTCACTGCCAAACCTTTGACATGAAAGTTACCATTTTACACTGATCTATGTCTCTGATACCTACAGTCACCCGACACGTTAATTATAATCATCAACGGGGGAAAAAACTGCATGTTAAAGTGCATGCGTCATCATTATGCATTTACATTCAAGTAAAACATTTTTCCTCTGCTCAAAAAAATTGATTCTGCCTAAAAAATAGTCATCGAGTAAAATTCAAACGTGAGGTTATATCTTTTTTTTTTTTTGTCATGAGATTATAATTAAATCACCCTTATGTCCTAAAGCTTGTGTACTTCTTTCTTCTGTGGAGCACAAAAGAAGATATTTTGAAGAAGGTTTTAACTGTTTTTGTCCATACAATTAAAGTAAATGGGGTCCAAAACACTGGGGTCCACTGCTTTTATTGTTTGGACAAAAAACACTGAGACATTTTGTTTCCTTAAAAGAAATAAAGTCACAAATTTGGAACAACATGAGGGTGAACAAATGATGAAAGAATTTTGATCTTTACAGATCTTCTTTATGCACCAAGAGCTTGTAACACTCCAAAGAGAAAGGAAAAATTGAAATCGCATCATATGACCCCTTTAAGTGTATTTTAGTGATAGATGACAGTATCTTGTCCAACACAATATTTACTTGCATTTACACATTTTTAAGACACTTTTATCCAAATCAACCTACATCACATTCAAGGTATACATTTCATGAGTTCATGTGATCAAAATCCTTGGGAATCAAACTCACAGCCTACTGTTTGAGCTACAGGAATGCTTCCCTACACATTTTGTTTATTAGGTTACAAATCACAATTTTCCAGAAACCTTTTAAATCACTGTTAGGTTGTTCAATCATAGAGCGGCAGAGAAAACCAAAGATAAATATAATTAATCATTTTATGTTCGCTCATTGTAATTTTACTCATTTACGTAGTCATTCCAGCTCATTTAATAATTATGCTCTAATTTTTAACAAATACTGTTTACATCCACGTCTACCTTTCCATTTAGGCTAACATTCACTGTAACATCAGTGTGACGGCTGTCCGGCCTCAGCACATGGAAACATTTTCCTAACAAAACAAACAGGTGCCCATGAGCTCTGTGAGGTGGACAAGCGTCACACATCAGGGAGTTGTAGTGTGATTTCAGCGTTTTCACACCCGCAGTAAGTGCAATATTTGTGCAGCAGTCTTGCTTTAATCAGCTCAGGCATGGCATATAAAACACACCCCCTCTAAAGGGGTCAGCAATAATATTGAGAAGGAGAACCAAAGGTATATTTTTGTTAAAAGGCAATGCATGTGGGAACACAGACTTGTTTTTACAGCATGAAAATTTCCAACTTTTTGTTTGTTTGAAAGAGTCAGCTGCTGCGGGCACCGCCCAGTCTGTGTCTATATGCTTCAAAACGCAATACGTGAGTGTTTCATTCCAGTCTGCTGGTAAATGAGCTGCCTTGTTTGTGAATGAGCTTTGGTTCAATCAAAAGGCTGTCTTTCATCAAAGCCCCTTAAAAATCTGAGGTTATTTCTCTGTATCCTTCCCCCTGACTAGCTGTTAAAAAATGAAATATTATTAAATATCATCCTTCCCTGCAGTGAGTGGAAGCCTCAGTCATAGATGGCATATAGAGCCAGTGTTCAGCACAGAGTGTGTCGTCCACATTTCTCATCTGCAATTCACATCTGAATACTCTTCATTCCAGTAAATTCACACAAAAACACACATGTGCACGGCACGAGCGTAATGGTTTTTATACAGTATAAACTGCATTTTCTATCCCCTTTACCCTTACCCTACCCCAGAATACTACTGGAATTTTTTTTTAAATACTAATAAAAAGTATATAAGTATGTTTACACTACTATTCAAAAGTTCGGAGATGGTAACAATGTTTTTGAAAGAAGTCTCTTATGGTCAAAGCAGTCTCTAAGGCTGTATTTATTTGATCAAAAATGCAAAAAAACAGTAATGTTGTAAAACATTATTACAATTTAAAACAACTGTTTTCTACTTTAATATATTTGATCATTTATTCCTTCAATGGCAAAGCTGAATTTTCAGCAGCAATTACTCCAGTCTTCGGTGTCACATGATTCTTCAGAAATCATGAAAACAGTTGAAAGCATTTGTGCTGCTTAATATTATACTTAATAATGCGGAGATCGTGATACTTCGGGATTCTTTGAATGAAATGAAAATTGAAAAGAACAGCATTTATTTGAAATGGAACTCTTTTGCAACAACATAAATGGTGTTACTGTATTTTTGTTGAAAAAAAAGTTACTTTCTTTAAAACAATGGGTAGTGTATATTAGTATAAATAAATTCTAACAAAAAGTAATAAAATCAATATATATCTACTGAAAATCAGAGGCAATTTTTAACTGGTTTATATAAATTGTCAGGAGAGCAAGACTAAAACCTGTAACCTTCCACACTTAAAAAATAACTATTCATCATCTCTTCAAATTCACTTAAGGAACCCCCCTAACATTGAAATCTCCGAATTCATCCAAAGCTAGGCATATTATTTATTTCAAAAGAACTTTTTTGACATTCATTTAGTCTTGCTGACCCATAGGACACACAACTTCCCCCTATAGTTCTCATCTATGGGATGCTGCATTGCTTCATCATGACATTGAAGAATATGAAGCACAAAGATCACAATGTGCACACTATATTAAAATATGTTTGCTAGGTCTTACTCACAGTCTTTGAAGGTTCTGTCATCATCAGAATCTGGTCCAGACATGATCTCCAACTGCTAGTCCCACACGTCCTGCAGCAATCCTCCTTCTCTGTCTCCAGCTCTCACATGCTCTGGAGAAGTTCAAAACATCAGTTAAGCTCCAGAAAGGGTGAACATGAAGAGGTTCCCTATTAGCCTTCTCCTCTCTAGCCTCCAGAGCAGTCTGTGGAGCCCCGGGGTTTCTCTTCAGTGGCTGGCCCACATTTGTCAAGGGTTGAACTAATTAGCTGTGAGGTTGGTTGTTGCGCTGCACTTCCTTATATTCACACACACTCTCAGCACATACACACTCTCACAGCCTGTTGCACACTCCCACTCGACTGAGTCGACTAAGCCCTGGCCCAGGAATGCAGCCCCCTTCTCCATTCATTCACAGCATGCCCCTGCCTTCCCTCACAACACGCTTTACATATGCAGTGCCCAACTCACTGAACAAACATCCAAGATGGACAGCAGACAACTTCTGACTGTTTTATTGACCACTTAAATAGCTATTTAACTTAACAAGGTCCTGAAATTGGTGGAAATAAACATTCAAATATAATTATAAATCATGTAGCATTCATTTGCAAAGAGACTCTCCGTTATCCTTGTAACAAACAAAGAACCCAAAATTTATATGCACTGTAAAACACCATTTTTCTAAGATATAAATAAAACAAATATTAAGGGATTGTAGGTTATACAAGAAAATACTATTTCAGCATTTCTGCTTTTCATGTTTTTCTAAATTTCACTTTAAATGAATGTTACTTGCATTTCTTTGTAATTATCTGTGAAATTTACTAGCAATTTTTGAGTGAGAATTGCTTGAGTAAATCCTACACCATTTTTTTTCTTGGACAGCTAAAAATGTTGGGTCGCATAATTAACTTTAAACTTTTAACTTCTGCCAAAATATGAGTCCATTATGCATAATAATGTTTCCTGCAGTAAAACGCTTCCTCCATCCCTTTTTGTCCTACCACATCAAAATTATTATGGATAGAAGTCACATATTTTAGCAGTGGTTAACTAATGATGGATTAAAAATGATGTTAAAAATGATGGATTTGTTTTTTACATACACCCAGCTTTTCACAAGTCATTAATTGATGGACTGGAGCCATTTGGATTACTTGTGGATTATTGTGATGTTTTTATCAACTGTTTGGACTGTCATTCTGACGGCACCCATTCACTTCAGAGGATACATTGGTAAGAAAGTGACATAATGCTAAATTTCTCCAAATTTGTTCTGATGAAGAAACAAACTCATCCACATATTTTTAAGTAAAAGTAAATGTAAGTAAATTTTCAGCAAATTTTCATTTTTGGGTGAACTATTCCCTTAAACTATTCCCATCGTCTGTTTAATTACGTCTTTAATTGATTTTTTCCGTACATTTCTGCCATATGTACATTAACTGACATAGTCACCGATAAGCTACTACTAAATATATTGTAGAAACTTAATTTTCTGTAAAGCTGCTTTGCAACGATTTGTATCGTGAAAAGCGCTATACAAATAAACTTGAATTTAATTTAATTTAATTTAAAAAGTCTATTGTAAAAATGTGAAGTTAGTCCTGAGAACAGCTCTTGTGTCATTTGTTTTTATTATATGCTACTTGGTTTGGTATTTTGTATCTAATGTAATGACATCCAGATATTTTTAGTGTGTCTTGAGAGTCTTTTTGAGGCCACTGTGAGTGATTAAATTCCATATATTATTAATAAAATGTCCATGTCATATTCATTTGTTAGCTTTTTGTGGATTCATTGTTAACCCCAATGCTAAGTTCTAGGTTTTTTTTAGACCATGATGTAATCTAAGTAATGATCCTGCTCAGACCGCACTGTGTAGTCATACTCTAGGAGAAAACATTTCAATTTAGCAGCTCTGAATGCTTGAATGGCTATTGTTCTGTGAACAAATCCAAGTAGCGGACAGCATTCCTCTGAAAGGCTCGTTCAGTCTGGTGAACTAAAAGCGTACTTTATTCCCTCTTCTCCAATTAGCATCCATGAGCCTACTTCCTTAATGTTTGAAGCACAATTCACTTTACATAATTGCCTAAACCACATTTTTCACAAGTCTGATGCCCCTTTTTTTAACTTTCTTGTGTCTTTCGTTCTTGGGAATAAGGACTCCATTCAGAGTCAAGCTCTATTATGAGACTGCCTTGGGAAGAGAGAGAGGGGTGTTTAGCATAAATGACAATCACAGTATCACAGAAAAGGGGCTTCAGCACTGAGACAATCACAGCTTTGGAGCCGAAATGACAAAAACGACAGGAGGAGAAATATCTGTTTGCAAGAATTCACAGAACAGTTTAATTGGCTGGATGTTGTTTGTGAAGAACTCCCAACTATTAAACAGTTTTTTTTAACTATTCTCTCTCACTTTTGGTGATAAATTGCTGCAAGGAATTCACTGGAATGAAAAGACCACCTGGTGTGGGGGACCACTGAGGTCACTGAAAGCTTCAAGCCTGCAGCTGTCAGATCAAAACCCAACTGAGAACTTGAACGTCAATCAAAAAAAAAAAAAAACCTGGGCGGGTTGTCAGGGTTGAATGGCTCTTAAAAGTGTGAGTGTGTGTTCATTCTTTTACTTATTTGACTCCATTCCTACATCTTTGATGACCATGCTCAGTCTATACAAGAAAAAAGGGCCGCTCACACTACATTTTTCATTCCATTCACTTCCATTCATACACATTTTGCTGCATTCCAAAGTTCCAGTTTGGTAAACTCTGACCTGCAAAATTTGTATCACTTGAAGACGTGTGAATAATATAAGATTGATACATCACAGCGTGACATCCAGGGTTGGGTGTTACTAAGTAATTAGTTACTGTAATTTAATTACTTTTCCCTTGAAAAACGTAAAGTTAGGGATTACTCTTATTATTTCTGTAATTTAATTACAGTTGCTTCTTATGTAATTTAACTTAATACTGTGTATAGACTGTAGAACATTTATACACACAATACAATAGTGGATTTAACATCAAAATTTAAAGTCTAACCTTAAAATGCATGCTTTTTATGTACCCTTCTCACTTTAAATACTATGGTGAGTTAATAAGAACATTGGTAACACTTTAGTGTCCAATTCTCACTATTAACTTTTTATCATGAATATTACTGGGATATTGTCTATTTATTATTACTTAAAAAGCACATATTAATGTCTTATTCTGCAAGACCTTATTCTAAATCCTTAATCCTATCCAATTCTTAAACTTAACAACTACTTTACTAAGTATTAATAAGCAGTAATTAGGAGTATGTTTTGCTGCAAAAGTCATAGTTAATAGTTAGTTAATAGTGAGAATTTGACGCTAATCTAAAGTGTGACCAGAATTATGTAGTTACGTGAAAGAATTAAAAGTATTAAAAATCATTGTATCATTAACTTGTCGAGGTTGATATAGGATTTAGAAAGTAATTAGTAATAAGTAATTAAATACTTTTTGGAGAGAGTAATTTGTACAGTAATCTAATTACACTGTTGAAGATGTAATTAGTAACTA